GCGAAATAAGAAGTAAATAAAACAGAAATATATGGAATAAACGCTGTCGCTGCACTCACGAAGCACACGACTTTGAGAAGGACGTTTTGAGCTAGTTTTGGATTTTTGCTGCATGCCGCAACTTGTTGTCGATTGTGACTTTCTCGAATTTGGAGGAAATTAAGATTGGTAAGTTGCAATTGATTTTAAAACTTTTTTACAAATTATTTGAGATCAAATTTAAGTTTTTAATGGAATTTTCCATCAAATTAAGCTTTATGTTTGTCAAAGTATTGATCTTTACATGCTTAATAGCACAAAAATTGAAAAAATTCAAAGATCAAGGGCAGTTTAAATGGACGAAAAATACTAAAATTGTTTAATTTTGCAAGATTAAATTCTAATTGGTATTAAAAGATCCAGTAGCATATTTTTGATGAATGAACTAGGTGCGTTTGTATCTTTGGAAACTTTGAAGAATTCATTTAATATCCTTAGGAATCTTAAGATCCTTAGTAAATTCTACAGATAGTAAGGAAATTCCTTGAAGAATTCATTTAATATACTTAGGAATCTTAGGATCCTTAGTAAATTCTACAGATAGTAAGGAAATTCCTTTAAGAATTCATTTAATATTCCTTGAAGAATTCATTTAATATACTTAGGAATCTTAGGAACTTCTAGGATTTTGAGGAAATTCCTTCAAGATTTAATGAGCTATCCTAGGAAATCCTAGTATATACTAGGAAATAATAGTAATCATTTAAAAATTTTAGTTCCTAAAATAAGGTTACTAGGATTTTCCAAAATTCCTAGTATTTCCTAGGAATTTCTAGGAGCCTACGTAAACCTCTACGTAAAAATTCCTAGGAACTACGTAAATTCCTAGGAATTACTTTCTGCCAGATGTCCAACACCCTTGGAAACTTAATAAGTTCTTAACATGTTAAGATGTCGAGTTTGCCTTAAAAAATAAAATGTGATGTTTATTGTCTGAATTCGAATGGAAAGCTTAACTTTTGTATGAAGCGGGGCAAACAACTATGATGATATGAATTTTATTTAAATCTAAAATGAACGTTACAACAGTTTTTATCTAGATCAATTAGAAACCATTCTTATTCATCTCTTTTCCAGTATTTATAGTCATCTCAGAACTCACTCTCATTGCGATATTCATAATTAAAAATTTATCGTACGTGCTAAGATATTTACGATCACAATCGTACATGAATAACAGAGCAAAATCCGCCTCAATGCGACGCGAGTTTCACATATAAAATTTATTAAGCTACTTTGGATCAAAAGAAAAACATCCAAACTGTTGAAATACAAATTATGATCGGATATCTGACGACGATCAATGAATGATCTTAATGGGATAATTAGTTATCAAATGTTTTTCGTAAAGTGACTGTAAATTATTCCCACGCATCTTCTCTTTACCAGCCATGAAGAATGATGCTGACAATGATGATATGTGAGTAAGGCACATGATTGAGTTAATTGATGTGCAATGTAATTAATTATTAATTTATTATTAATTAAAAAATATCGAGAGAAGCTCATGTTTCTGCCAACATAAAAATCATTAATGGATGTTAAAGTGTGTTGAGGAGTTTAAGTTACTGCGTGGATCGAATGGAATAAGATTTGGCTGATGAGCTGAGACGATCGTAATTTTATTGATGGGTTTCTTGTTTTACGACTTTTTGGGGTTGGAGGATGTTTGTGACTTCTGGATGAATGTGTATGCTGTCTTAAATCATATTTTAATGATTGAAAATTTAACAGTCAAAATAAATTTGAAAATAACAGTCGAAAAAAATTCAAACCTGCAAAAAAATATTTAAATTAAAAAAACGGTTTTAAGATTTAAAAAAACAAGTTATAATCCACAAGCATATCCATAGTGCATCATGCTATGAGAACACCTCGTACAAAAGTTCCCTTCCTCGAAAAAAAAAATCGTTAATATAATTTAATTCCAAACATTAAGCTACGAGTATGTTGTGTTGACCCAGCCCAACCTTATTTTTCCTTCTGCATCACAACTAAATATTTATCAGCAAAGTCATATTTAATGCCACATTAAAAAGTGTATGTCTGACTTTTTGTCTTTATCTCATTCAGTGTTTTTCAACCATAGTCATCGTCGCTGGCTGCATGTCTCACAAATCTATAGCAAGCGGAACATAAACAAGAGAATCTATCTTTTTATAATTTCTTATGCACACGCGTCTTTAGTCTTAAGTGAATGTTGTTACGTCTAGAACATACAAAAGTCAATATCTCACTCGTTGCTCATTTGCAGCACAAGCCCGTACGATAAACATTTTCATTCCACACCAATCGAATGAACGTCATTAATTTATGCATGAAAATAATGAAGGAAATAAAGAATATGAGTAAGTTACACCTTAATTTCGTCTACTTCTCCTGAGACTAACTTGTGAACAGAGAGAAATATGATTTTTAAAATCCATACGTACGACGATCATAAAAAAGGTGCGACGAATGAATGATAAATATCGATATTTTTATGCTTTTATTATTATTATTTTTTGTGTCTCCTTCTGAACTCTTTAATGTGTCTGACAAAGTTCTCTTTCCGCTAATAAAGGAATTAAGAAACAAGAAAGCGAAGAGCAAATGTATTGATCATGATTTTATAGTCGGTCGAGTGAAGAATTGAATGAGATAAGAATGGGATGCGATTGAATTTGCATTTAATTATGGGGAATTATATTTTTTTTTTTGGAGAGATTCTGATTGTTTTTTTTGGTTCTCATAGGATTGATATATGGGTCGTTCACTTATGACGTCAAAAATTAGCGGTCATTTTTCTTGCTGCCCCCCCCCCCTCTCTTCTTGGACGTGATACCTGAACGGCCCCTATTGAAATTTTCAGAGTTGTGGATTAGGGGCCGTTCACTTATTACGTTCGCATTTTAGGCGGGAGGGGGGGTTTGAAAAATTGTAACAAAATGTAACCTTTTTAATGATTTATGAAAAATTATCAAAATAAAATAAATTATGAACGTTCAGGGGGGGGGGGGGGGGGGGGTTGGGTTGTGAGTTGTAATTTATTGTAACAAGGGGGGAGGGAGGTGAAAAAATTCGTTTTTTTTGCGTAACGTAATAAGTGAACGGCCCCTTATTATCATTTAATGAAATGACAAATTTAATAGAATTTATTCATTAGCACAGGAGCTGAGCACCCTAGATAAGCTTTCGTGTTCATATTACATACCAGCACCAAAAGACTATCTTAAAAAATACTTTTTAAGTGACAACTTTCGAATATTCATCAAACCTAATCAAAACCTATTAAAAAGCCATTAGTAGCTTCATATTCTTCCTATATTCATTCAAAACAACATGATAAATAATTTCACAGCTGATTAAAAAGGTTGGAGTGAATATCCATCAAACACAGAGACTTATCAAAGTGTCACTTACTCATTTATGAAAAAAAAAAGAAAAAACTCACAAGTCTTAAAAGGATTACATTCATCATCGCGAGACATCATTTGACAAATGTTTAATAATTTCCATAGAAGAACAGCATCTGGAAAGAAGTTGATAAATGTATTTCGTTGAAAATCTCTTTAGAAATATCTCTTCTGGGTAATTACGATCCATGTATCATCTCGATGTGTATGAGACAATCTCATTTCATTAATAATTTTGCATTTCATCATATTAATCATGTGATACTCTCTTTTTGAGTTCTGCAAAATGCATTTAATAATTTTTTAATTTAACGTAAAATTCATCACATCATTAATCACTGAAAAAAAGTGCATATCGTCAACACATATGGATGGATAGAAGTGAAAGAAATGCTTCAATACTTCCCCTCTACGACTCTTTTTTTTTGCATATATGGCGGTGGCACATTCTATTTAATTAAGAATACAGATCAGATCAAATCTATTCAGCAGAGTTAATGCATGCATTCACTTCTCTTATAATTTAATTTCATCATTCATTGATGCATGAAAGTTATAATTTACACATACAATTCATGATTTTGATTGAAATCACTTTCGTAAACTGATGATCGGCAGTGTTAAATGCATCTCCTCCATTTATTCATTTTCATATGAAATGATTGCATATGCATCGCAAGTACTTAAGAGATGAGATTTCGAATGGAACGAGTTGGGGAGATTTGGAGATTGTTGGGAATATTAAAACGCATGCAAATACTGAGTGTAGATAGTCAATTGATGGTTTAGCTGATGTGGACAAGTCAATCGAACAGTTTCGAACTCTTGGAGAACATGAAATGGTATTTAATCAGTTGCAATAAAGAAAATACCGGATCAACACAGTGAATTGTTGTCCACAAGATGATCAAGAATATAGAAGTTACCGTTTGATTCTAAGAATTCTCTTTATTTGACTACCGTGAGCACAATTTTCAACCTTTCCCTCTTTTTCTATTTCCTACAACTTGAATTCTATATGCTCAAATTGAGTTTAAGATCATCTCTTAAGATCATCAAGACAATTCTAAAAAGAAATCTGAATTAATTAAACTTCATCTGTGTTGTAACCAAAGTCCTTTAAACTGAACCTCCAAAAAGGTTGTACCTTTACATATTAAATGACATACAGCTTTAAATTCAGATGTAGCTATTAGATTGGTAGTCAAATTTAAATAAATTCAAGATTTCAGGATCATTGAGTACATCTTGGCATTCAGCTTATTATTGGTAATCATACAACCGTAAACTAGGTTAGTCTTTATCCAAAACACACTTAACATCTTACTATTAAAGTCACCCAATCAAACTGATCATCAATTCCCCGTCATCATCCAGAATAAACAGCTACAAGAAAGAAGAGTGAAAAGATTTCGATCATAACTCAAAACTGAGTGTATATACGAGTAAAATAATGCAACAACAACAACAAAGTTGAAATATCGAGAATATCGAGTTTGGGATGTTGGGATTTTATCGAGAGATGTTTAAAGAGTAGCTGGAAGCAATAATTGATTACTATTTTGCATTAAATCACTTTATTTCTCATTTTCACATTGATCTTTTATGCGATTCACACACAGACAGATTGTTTTATTCCTCCTTTCGGTACATATGTCATATACGCTGTTTGAATATTTATCATTCTACTTCCATACCATCCTTAACTCCTCTTCCATATTATATTCATATCCATAATATATAATACGATGATAATACAAGAGATATATTTTTAAGAAAAAAATGAATAACGATGATCGCAGTTGAGGCACAATAATAATTATTACAAGTTCAATTCAAAGAAATGTTAAATGCGTGCATATAATAAGCACGTTAGCTTGCGAATCATAAATAATCAACATGAAAATGATTTTTAATAACATAAATTTCTATTTAGATAATTAACTGTTATTGAATATTTATTAATTAATTAAGTTTATGAACTTTTTGTTGATTTATTGCTTGATAAATATGCTTTAACATAAAATCGCGCGAAAAGGTACAGGATCAGTGAGGTTTGTGATGCCATAAACAGCGACATGGCTTTGGAAAATTCACAGTCTTTAGAAAAGATTGGAATTAGGAAGCTGATGATAACGATAATGAATTGGAGCTGGAATTGAGTGATTCTTGGTTACAAAGCTGAGATAAGATTGTATCGCTAATCACTAACAACTTAAACTTACCATCTGCAACTGTGTTATGTGCTTCTTCCACTTTATTGATGTTCTCACATCCGATCTGAAGGTGCTGAGAAGATAATAGAAATACATGATTGCATGTACGGAGGAGTTAAGGAAACCGAGAATGACAAAAGGACCGCCAGAAAACCATTTCATGATGAAATAACCACCAGTAGCCATCATTAGGTGATGATAACAGTGCAGTAAGGATAATTGTCGGTGATTTTTCTTCAGGATGATGAAAACCTGAAATTATTTATTTTCTTAAAAGTGGAGTAATTGAATGTTTTGATGTCTATTGGATACTCTACGGTTACTAATTTAACTGTCACTATTTGTCCTTGGACTAGCGACTAGAATTTAATCAGTACTGAAAAGTCGACTCATGGGCACTTTGAGCTTTGATTTTCATCAGAACTTATTTGTTTTGTAAGCATACTCACTGTGTCAATCAAATCCCAAAACTTCGACATAAAGTAAATATATCCTAAGTTTCTCTTCGCAATGCTGATTTCATCAACACCTCTGATGTAAGGTTCACACATGATATCGTACTTAGTCCTTATAAAGCAATAATAGAAGCACTGCAATTGATTAAGGCATGGATTAAGTTAATTTTAATACAAAGTTTAATTCTAAAGCTGACAAGCTTTAACGTGTGAAGGTATGTCTTGACAACGACTTCATAAATGATTTCGATGATAAAAAAGAACTCTTAGACCCACTTTTCCTTCTCATACTTCGTCATAGAACTTCAAACCCACCTAACCCCAGTACTGAATAATAAACTTCAGTCATGATGCTAACATTGCATCATTAAATCCACTTACATAAGAAGCTCCAATGCAGTTTGCAGTGACTTGAAAAATATTGTAAATCAGCATTGGAAATTTCACGTTGTATGCCGCTCGATCATTCATAAATGATGGTCCATATTTCAACAGAATAATGTATGAAAATACAATTATCATAACTGGAATAGGTGGATCCTTAAGTAGATAGTAATCATCGTACACTTTATCTGAAAATACGCAAAGTAAATGATTCAAAAACTCACAATTAATCTTGAATCTCTAACCTCGAAGGCTGTAAGCATACGACAAGCTTTTGTAGATTTTAGCTAAAACTAACATTCTGAATGAGCACTTAAAAATGTGGACTATCACAAGACAGTATTAATGAGAAAGTAAAATGCTTAAAATTTTATTTATTCAACTTTGGGTCATCAATAATTCACATTCATTGACATTCATATTTTATGACCTAATTAAAGGGATTTTGCATTCTAATTTTGTAGTTTTAAGTCACATTTTACAGGCATTTAAGTTTGTAAAAATGACGTAGCGAATTCAATGAACTTTTATACATCAAATTAGACATAGCACAATTTATAGACAAAAACACTGTAAATAATGAGTGAGATTTTTATAAGCCATTTAATCGATTTCTGTTTAGAATTAATGGTCATTAATACAATGAGAGTAAAGACCTGTCAGTGCTAAAATTATTACAGCAAAACAATTTTATGTTTTTAATATTAAAAGTGTTTCAAAACCGTTTATAGCATAAATATAGCGCTCATAAAATGCTTAATGGTGAGAAGAATGCAAGTAAAATAAAGAAATATATATTTTCGATGCAGTATGTTGCAATTATTTTTGATTAAATTCCATCACTTTGCGTCTGTATTAAGTTTCCTTAAATCTTTCTCTTGCGAGTATAATTTAGCAGGTATTATATGTAGGGAATGCAGATTGAGTTGATTCTTCCCGGGAATTTTTAATATCTTCTTGATGCTTAAAAGTTTTTTTAAGGGAAAAAAACTGTTGCACAACAAATGTTTATGGCACACAACTGCTGCGCAACAAATATTTATGGCACACAACTGTTGCACAACAAATGTATATGGCACGCAACTGTAGCACAACAATTTTATATGGCATGAAATATAATTTTAATTAAAACATTTGATTGGAAGCACTACTTGATAATAAATACCTCATATTGAATATGAAAATTTATATTCGACTACAAGTAAGTACGCTGTATAGCACAACAATCAAGTGAGAAGAGAAAAGAATGAACAACAAAAAAAGTAAGGTGTGTATTATAATATTTTGAGGGATAATGAAATGACTTGAAATTGAAGTAATCTGTTAAATATTAAGCAGAAAAGAAAATTGGTTGAAATTGAAAATATCGTAAAGTAATCGAAGGAAGAAAACATTGCTTTAAGTGGCAATTTTCAATATTGTAATATCGACTCTTTTCTTCATTTTATGCCTTTTAATGATTTTACATTAATAAAGATCTCACTTTTGTTGCATATTGCACCACGTACTGACAATGAATCGATGCCGCAATCGCAATGTTGAGATTTAAATTGACACCTTTATAAATGAATGTAATTTTTCATAATAAACATCACATTCGTGGTATCAATAACAATATTTAATGAAATAATCCGGATATAAAGGTTTTTAAGACGTTCTGAAATGTGAATTATCATTATAATGTTGAATTTATTAATCTCATTTAAAGGTGTAACTGAACAGACTTTTAAGTTCCTTTACTGGATATGAAAAAGGCCTTACAAGGTAATCGTTTGTAGGATAATAGCTTTTATTCTGAAACATACGTTTGGATTATTGAATTCGAGGATTTTAAATATGAACTAACCTTGGTCTTGTGAGATGGAACTGATCTAGATCAACTAAAGATCACAGAGCAACACAAACTAGACAATGGAAGCCCATTTAAATTTCAAACTCTAAGTGACTTTCAGGAGAATTCCAAAATGGATTCTTGTGTCGTCCAAGGTAAGATCTCTCCATTCTACACTAGATTAGATTAGGGGCCGTTCACTTATTACGTTACGCAAAAAAACGACTTTTTTCACCCCCCCTCCCCTCCCCCCCTTTTTGGTATGAATTTGTAAACAAATTTTTATCGTGAACTTTTTTTTAAAGACAGACGATAGTTATAACGTAACATACTTCTTGACCCCCCCCCCCCCCTTCTATGTTACATTTTGTAACAATTTTTGAAACCCCCGTCCCCCCTAAAATGCGAACGTAATATGTGAACGGCCCCTTAGGTTGTAGTCCAAATCTGCAAAGAAGCTGTCGTTCAAATGCTTATCAACACAACTAATTTTTAAAAAAAGTGCTGAAAATTAAAGCCTCAAAGCCATTTTATTCCCATACCAGCCACCTCAAAAAGTCATTAACAAATTAATGGAAAGGAAATTGATTGTTAATTGAACTCTTAAATCTCGTGTTGAACATGACAAAGCAAAACTAATTTCCATCACACCATCTAGCTACTAGAAAGTACACATAATGTCACACATTGCAGCATCCGCTAAAAAAATCAGACAAGAAGCATAAAAGCATCCGTGACACCAACTGTCAAGGAAAAGACACCAACTTTCTAAGCACTTGATTATTTAATTACATCAGTGAGTCTTTAAAGTCAAAGTCTCTACAAATTTTCATCCATCCATTTAGTGCCAATTGATCAATCAATTAAAATTACGAGCTGAATGAGAAATTCAATAGAGTCACTAAACAACAGTCAACAACATTCGTGCACAATAAATATTGAATATACATCAATTGGTTAATTGATATGCGCGGTCAAGTGGATCAAGTCGTGTATATACTACATCCATTATGATACGGCATCTTTCGATAGGTCAACAATTAACTGTGAGAAATAGTACAAGTCACATTAAGACCTAAAGATATTGATAGTTTAGCAATAATCGTTCATTTAAAAGCCATTTAGCTTCCCTACTATTCATGCAATTGACAAGCATCATTTAAGTTACTGATCGCATCAATTGTGCAGTATACCAACACAGTATGTGTACTGTCGACTGACTGCATACTTCTTTTTGTGTTTTGTTTACTCTATCATTCTCTGTCTCGTTCTCTTCCACTTTTTATTGTACTTTTGATCACGTTTTAATGACGATTACGTGATTATAATTATGGGTAAGTTAGACGTAAAGTAAAATGGAATGATGAGAATTAAGACATTAGCAACTTACTCACCGGCAATTGCTATTGGTTGGATGGTTTTTTTTTTAATGAATTCGACTTGATAAATGTCTCGTACAACTGAATAAATTGATGCTGAGAAATATTTTTAATTATAATTTTTCAACTAGTATAAAATTAGATGTTTAAATAAGGAATAAGTAATGAGAATTAACGAAAATCTGCGTCAAATGATGTCTTTGTGTATTGTTGATGATAAATTAAATTGCATCTCATAAAAGGGCATCAATTAATGCTGATTTCATACTGAATAGTCATCCTTGTGCTTTTTAAGAGAGATACAGAATAAGTTAGAAATGCACTTGAAATTAGTTGAGGTTAAGGCGCATTTTTATTCTTAATTTGAGAAAGTCAACATTTTTAGAGTGTGGCAACACTTATACAATCGGGATAGCTCCCAAAATATTACCGCATTTCTTGAGATGAAACTTCGAATCCAACTTAAAATTACTAAACTTTTCATTAGCTTTATCAGAGATTTAAAGTGAGATTTGAATTATCTTATGATGTCCACTTAAATGTGGTTGTTGGAGCAAGATTTAAGGAAAAGGAGTGAAATTGTCATTTATTGATAGACGTCATATGTGAACAATCTAGAATCAGCTGCTCAAGACTGTTTCAACTGTTTCACTCAAAACCTATCGCTAGTTGCTTCTAGATGGTGGAGGGAGTCAACCTTTCTGTAGTCTACTGTCGAAGGGCTTGAGAAGTCTTGATACAAATCGTATATCGTGTTCTTACTGCATTGTCTTACAAAACTTAGATAAAGAGTTCTACGTCTAGTAATGACAAAATGACTTAAGAGCTTATTAGTGCTCTTGCTTCAAATAACTAAGCTTAAATTCAATCTTACCATTTTTGTGTGATTTTTTAATAATATTCGTTCATAATCAATTAGTTTCTTACTTACATAAAACGATTTTAATGCCATATGTGAGCTAAATCCAATGTGAATTATGATTAATTAAGACATTTCAATTGAGCTATAGATCGAATTTATAAATATGTTAATTTTCCATTTAAAATGAAACTGAAATGTAAAAGGTTCCAATTAGGGCTATGAAAAATTGACTCGTGTAATTGCTATCATCAGTCATAAGGAGATCTTTTTAATTGCGATTCTTTTACTTGACTGTCGGGGCATGCGTTTAATTTAAAAATGTTGATATGGATATTTTTTATCAGGATTATTGACAATTTGAGACTAGCTGGGAATTTTAAAATTAAAATTTATAACAGATTTTTAAAATTTGAATTGACAATTAGTCCAAAGCCTCATAAATTCTTTTGAATTTTGAGAAAATTGTAAGGTTTCAATTCAAAATTTCTGGTAAAATTTAAACCAAAACTTCACAATTTTTTCAAATATTAAAAGAATTTGAGAGCTTATCAAAAAAAAAATTCAAAATTAAAATTTCCGTTAATTAATCCAATTAATCGAACAAAAAAATCATTAAAAGATCGCTTTCAGCAATATAGAACACATATTGTAATAAATTCATTTATTTTAATGATTATCAATAAAGAAATTAATTGAATGGTGGAGTTAAATTTCATTATTGGGTCGATTAATACCAGAGTCATTCCAATAATACTCTTATTACATTCAAGTTCAGTTTCTTTTCACCTCCTTTTTTGCGCACAATTAAGAAATGTAGAAAAATGTAAAGAAAAAAAGTTTCATTTTAATTCAACGTGGAAAATTTGTGGAATTCAGTCTTTAAGACATCGATCAGATAAATATTTTCACATTTATCTGTCATTTTGCGAACATTGTTATTGCTCGAAAATTGATTATTTGTAATTCAGAGATCAAAATGTGAGATTAGAAATTTGTAAAAGAAACATTTTTTTGAAGTAGGCAAAAAATCACAATTAAAATTCCTCTGGTTGTAGATTCAGATCATTTATCGCTATTTAGTCTTCAATTGCAGACTTGAATCAAATATTTATCAAATTAATGATTAGGAAATTTTGAAAAATTTAACGACTCACAAAAATTTAAAATTTCGCATCATTTCTGCATCACAGGTGCAACTTTTCAGCTATAAAAATAACAAATATTTTATTTTAATTGAAAAGGGCATAAATTGGCAGCTATCAATGATAAAGCGGAGGATCTTGTCTGGTCAACGTGCATATTTTTCAATCCGACACTTACTTGCTTCCAAAAGAATCTTAA